TTCATGCCTGTCCATGTACCGTCCTAACGTTAAATCTCATATTTACCCTGACGTCACCGTCCTCTCTGTAATCAAACCATTGCAAACTATCCATAGAAAATGACAACTGGAATTTCACCACGGCTGTCTTGTATGTCTTGCGTCCTTGAGTTGCCACAGCAGTGATCACATGATCAGTTATACCAACTGCGATCTGCAGAAACGCGTTTCGATCTGTGGTGGCTGCCATCCACGGGTATGTTGATGAGAAAAGTCGACCTCTGTAAGGGTAATATCCACCATGAAAAGAAGAACTTAGGACTGATTGGTCGGGAATGTGATTATCCTCCATGCCAAGAGCAGAGGAACAAGCTGAAGGGCGAAATGAAAGAAAAAGGTTTAATGATAACAGAAATAAGTAATAGCAATCATAACAACAACAGCAACAACAGCACTAGATTACGACAAACGAACGATGATGATGATGATGATGATGACGACGACGAACAACAACGAGTACACACACTTTTAGTTAATACCATTTGATGATGATGATGATGNACTCCAGGACATTTAGTACAGTAATATCTGGGCTTGTATTGCCCGGCATATCCTGTGGAACAAAGAGAACAATGCAAGTGTCTAAAAGAGAGCAGTTTCTTTTCTAATTTCTGTTCCACTCTTTCTCCTTGCCGAAAGAATAAGACTGCCGTTTCTTTTCATTAAAAGCTGACAATTCTGGTGATATTTCCAGCCTGATGATTGATGTGATTGCCTTGTAACTGCATGAGCATCACAATTTCATGCTGAAAATGAACTTACCTTAACTTCTCCATGTTCTTTGTAATAAAACCATTCACCTTCCTGTCTGCTAAACGCCAGTCGATAACTTCTCACAAATGCCTTCCCTCGATATCTACCCTGCGTGGCGACAGCAGTGAGAGTATTCAATTTTCCCAGGTTGACTTGTAACACGACTTCTTCACGACCTTAAAAACGAAAATGAAAAAGATAAACTAAACTAAACATCATTTTTAGGTAGTTTTGATGATTTTTTGGGAAAAACAGTGTCAAAAATATGGCTCTCTTTCTTCACCCATGCACATAGTGCGCTTGGACACCAAGATTGAAGTATTAAGTGATCATTACATTACGTGAATTGCTGAAGGTAAAGTTAGTATTTCGAGATTTTTCCAAGACAAAACGACAGGTTTAAATAACGTCTGCCAGACTTTTTCGATTCGTTACCCAGCCTCGTGCATGAGTAATTCGTGATTTCACTCATACCATAGCCTCAGTGTACTGGCCGTGTACTTTGTAATAAAACTAGGCCATATTTTGAGGCTTTCATCGACACTAATGTGTCATTAGACAAATTTCGATATATTAGAATTCAGCCTAAAACAGTAGACCTCAGCACGTGGCTCTGGGGAAAAAAACTATAGAGTTTGTGGTATTTATTTCCCAGAGCCTCGTGTTGAGGTCTAATGTGTTAGGCTGAATTTTAATATATCGAAATTGGTCTGTTGCATTTTGAATTTTGTCATTTTGCATTTGTGTTTGAGTAAAACTCGGGTAGGGGAATATCCTGATTATAACGTCATCGTTTTCGGAAAGCTTTGTTTTCAAAGTGTTCACCGTCCACATTAACTAAAACGCAAAGCCGGCGTTTTCAAATCCGTCCGGTTTGAAGATCGTTTTCGAAAAGCTCCGTTTTCGTGACGGATTAGTGTGCACGTAAGGCCTAACAAGCGAAATAAAGCTCCGATGTTAAATTCCTTCGGCGTAGTGTGGACGGGGATTTTGCAATTCGAAGAAAAGTCTGAAATTGATGAAGAATGATTTTAGAAGAAATGTTGGTGTATTATTGCAAGGCAAGGCAAGTCCATGATGTTTTCGTTTTTGAGATTCGAATTCTTGCTAAGTTCCAGACGTGGCATTCACGGCTAATTATTTGGAACTCCACTGCAAATGACTTCCTTTATTTCTTGAACCATGAAGTAAGTTATACGAGAGAACAAATGCTGTCGAAATCTGTTGGAATCTGCCGTTTTAATGTTAAAAAATGTCAAGATCAACATTTCTATACGCACCTCCATAGAATTGACTGCTCCCTTCATAGTTTAACCTTGCATTGAAAATATTATCTAGGATAGTTGACTTTACGTTTGTTCTAGGTATAGAGAAGTCCTCCATTCCCAGAGGCTGAAAACAAGCTGTAATAGTAAAAAAACAACGCTGAGAATCAATTGAAATCAGTGCACTGTAGCAGTTTTAAACCGACTAGGAATTGATTGGTTTACATTTAAAAGACGTTCACCGTAGTTTAAGACACAGATAAAGTTCAAAGATTTTCCTGAGCATAGCATTTGAAAAATCACCTTTGCATCCGTAAATTTCCACTCTCATGCAAATTCTGTTGAACCAGTTCACAGGACGAAGACGGACATAGCGAGCAATCACAGGGTCCCCCAAATCGTGACTGACAACAACAGAGGTATTACTGTTCCCGGAGAAGACCTAAAAAAGGTTAATTCGACAATTTCAATCACTTAATACCTTATGACTGAGCAAATGAAGATAACAAATACTGAAAATAAGATGACTAGCTTGTAGTTATTTACTTTTATTGTAAATCATGTCGAGGCCCCAAAGCTTAAAGGGTCCTTATAAAGAGCGCTTTATGACGCTTCAGTGGCACTCCCTTTGGGACCCTTACAACCGATTTACATGCCCAGGGTAAATGATGTATTTCATGTATCAAGCAGGAAATGAAAACTCTGTGTAATTAAAGCAAGAAGACTGGAGACACATTTACGTAAAAACGACATCACGTAAACATTTCCACCATTTCATCATTTTATCACTTCGTCTTCATCATAAGCGCCGGTCGAGAAAACAAACATTCAAAAGTCTTTAAGTGCTATGTGCTATGTCATTGCACCGTTTTTTCTTCTCACCCTCGTCTTGCCATCCTCTGTGTAATTCCACCAGTCCATCGTATCTTGTCTAAACTGCATGATATAGCTAGTGACCCAGGCATCCGGGATAATACATCCGGGCACAGGGTATTTTCCTTGAGTGGCTACACGTTTCACACGATGCAAGCGTTGTAAGTCTATTTCCAAGTACTGATTCTCGTCGTTTTTCTGTGAACACACACAAAATATCTGTTGTCCAGTTTTTCTATTTATGTATAATTTTTTCGTCAAGCCATCGTGTTGCTCTCTCCTCCCATAGGCCTTTCTTTGTTAAATTAGGAAAGACGTTATTAAGGTCAGGGCCATTTGGAGTATTTTCATGTGAAAGGGGTAAAGGTATTTACTTACTCCTGCACACCAGGCTCCTTCTCCCAGCTGGCTGTGTAACCTGGCCAGCCAGGGTTCATAATTTACCCGCAGAGCGCTTGAAGCTGTGATGACTTCGTCCGATATTTCACCGCTCTCCATTCCCAAGGAATCACTGCAGTCTTTTAACAGAATATAACGAAACAAGAACGAAAAAATTTTAAAAATGTCTGATGTTTACATTTATTCTTAAAATGCCTTCGTGGAGCATTGTTAAAAGATAATTTTATGTCATTAATTGGTACTAATGTTTGGAGTTTACAAGATATCAAATAATATCATATCATCATCATATCATAGCAATTTTTCTTACAAGGGGGAAAGGTGCAATGAGGTTTACCCTATGTAAAGCACCAACCCGTGAGACAAGGCCAGAGCACAACACCGAGAACTACGTGCCCTACTCTTTGCGATAAGTGTGTGGGTTATTTGACGTCCCCTTCTAACCATGTAACACTGAAGATGCAAAAGACGGGGCCTACGGTTTATAACATAACATAACATAACATAACATCCATCAACCGAATTCACATGTCGTTAGTACATTACATCACTATACCTTCCTTAGCAAACACCTCCAGTCTTAAACAAGGATGGCTCACCCAGGTTTTGGGGTAAATACGTAAATATCGTGCACGAAGGTTATATTTGATATCAACTTTAACCACATCTTGTCGATGAGCGTTCCCATAAAACACCTAAAACATAATATAAGGTATGAATACTAGGTCGTCATGATCTATAAATTGGCAAGGAAAATGTCTTTGTCAAGAAGTCTCTTATGGATACATTGGAACGGAAAAGAAACGACTGTTTTCTACCCTGCTATTGAAAGTTCGAAAGCACCTTGGCTGTCTAATCATTCAAGGTTTTGTTTGTACCTTTAAGTCTCCGATCTCTGTATACTGCTTCCAAAATATCCCATCAAGACTTGAGCTAATGGTAAATGTTTTGACATACTTGTCCTCGGAAGAATGAGACTGGATAGCGATCGCGTGAATAACTTTGACAAGTTTAAAATCCAGTTGTAGAAACTGAATCTTGTCTGGATCAGTGCTGTCTGCACACCACGATGATCCGGGGGACTCGTCGTTTATTTTAAGGCTTCCTTGCCATGGCGTTAAAACAGATCCATCGAATCCGAACACGTCAGGATATTCAAAATTTCTGGTCGTTTTTGAAGCGTCTATAGATCGTGTGCAAACTGCAAATAGAAAACCGTTTGATTATAGCGGTTATTGAAATCGATAAACTATGCTCTTAAAGTAAAGTGTAAAGAACAAAGTAACCAAAGTTGTGAGTAGTATGGTCAGAAGCTAGCTAAAAAAGGCTTGGCAGCGAACTCACTGTAAGGCTTGTAAAAGCATCCCGTCCAACCTGACCTTAGATACGTAATTGACAAAACAATGGCGGCAAATAACCATTCTACACTTCTGAGTTATTTCTTGACACTGACTATGTTCACAAATGAGAAACAAGAGGCGCTTTTCAATAACAATGTCATCTGAGTCTGATCATTTCATTGCCCTTCATGAGCAGATTGACTTTATAGTGGTTCACATACGAGCAGGAAATGACGAGTGATTCTAGATGCTAACCTATGCATCCGTACACTTCAACTTTCATGTGTCGCCTTCCAAACCACTCTTTGGGCCAAAAACGCACGAAGCGTGCAGTGATGTTCCTCATTAGGAAATGCTTTGTTACTGTATTAGTAAGGGCGGCACTTGTAAATATCTACAGTAAAACAAAACCATCACATTTATTACAGCTAAACAATATCGGGACAATTGCTGTTCAAATGCAACACCTTGGTGGCACTTAACCTATGGTATTACAAAGGTAAACAAAAAGCGGCCACACAGCCTCCTGGGTACAGTAAAGCATAGCATTGTACAAAAAAAAAAAAAAACATGAAAACTGGACATTGCACATAGTTGTCCGTGTGGGCCAAAATCGAATTCTTTGAAGGTGTTTTAGTGATGGCAATTTTCTCATCGACCTAGAAGACATGAGGATAACCTCACAGAGAGAAACGAATGCACCTAATAGTCTGCGATCAAGACATTTTCCCTTTTCCCTTCATGCCTGTCCATGTACCGTCCTAACGTTAAATCTCATATTTACCCTGACGTCACCGTCCTCTCTGTAATCAAACCATTGCAAACTATCCATAGAAAATGACAACTGGAATTTCACCACGGCTGTCTTGTATGTCTTGCGTCCTTGAGTTGCCACAGCAGTGATCACATGATCAGTTATACCAACTGCGATCTGCAGAAACGCGTTTCGATCTGTGGTGGCTGCCATCCACGGGTATGTTGATGAGAAAAGTCGACCTCTGTAAGGGTAATATCCACCATGAAAAGAAGAACTTAGGACTGATTGGTCGGGAATGTGATTATCCTCCATGCCAAGAGCAGAGGAACAAGCTGAAGGGCGAAATGAAAGAAAAAGGTTTAATGATAACAGAAATAAGTAATAGCAATCATAACAACAACAGCAACAACAGCACTAGATTACGACAAACGAACGATGATGATGATGATGATGATGACGACGACGAACAACAACGAGTACACACACTTTTAGTTAATACCATTTGATGATGATGATGATGATGGTGGTGGTGGTGATGACCGTGATGACGATAACGATGATGATTTTGGTTACATGCTTTGTAGAGCCACACAACCATTTTCTTGTCAACGACCTAATCATCAGCAGAACATGACTATGATACATACGTTATTTCACGCAGTGTTTTCAATAACAGCCTAACCTCTGCATCCAAAAATCTCTACACGCATACAAGTCCATCCAGACCAAGTAACTGGTAAAAACCTCAACTGCCGAGAAACTATTCTCTTGAGAAACGTATGACGTACAATTTGATTGCTTTGTGAATTTCCAGTAAATATCTGCAAACAAGACGAAATCAATTAATACAACTTCAATTTGTTTTATTTAGATTACTTACCTCAACGCATTGGAGGTATAAAATTCGCAACGGCCGTGACAGAAAAAGCACCCCACCGTAGCACCACAACTTCCTAAGAAAGATTTTCCAAGAGACATTCCATTAAATGCTTAATATTCTTTCAGAGGTTAATCCTATATGTCAACCTTTTGATCGAGGTGGTTATTTTTCGTCGGTTTGCCAGCGGATTTGCTCACCTTTGGGGTGTTTCCATCCTCAATGTAATTTATCCAGGTCATTTGCTCGTCAGTGAATGATAAACTAAAGGCCGTTACCCAAGCCCGAAAACCAAGAGCCCATTCAGATATTTCATATTTGCCCTGAGTAGCCACGCCTGTTATGATGTAAGTCTGAGCGAGATCGACCTGCAGGTACTGGGCACCATCATTTTCTTTTGCACACCAGGCTCCCTCGCCTTCTCTACTGTAGAGCCGTGCCAGCCAAGGTTCATGGTCCACGTCATACCATGATGAAGCTGAAAACGCCATATTAGGGACCACGCCTCGCTCAAGACCGACCGGATAGGCGCATTCTGGAAATTATAAACACCAATGTTTATATCTCAAAGTTGTGAATTATCAAGCAAATTGCATTTTTTTTTTTTTTAAACAACAACGAACACGAGGCCAACAACAGCAACGACGACGTAAAAAACTGAAACAACAACTAAAACAATGAATGACTTATTTTTATCAAGAGAGTGTGTAGAGAGTCGAGAAAAGGAATTCAAAAGTTTTTCAAGTCATTTTTAGAGTATCGTTATCGTTTCGTCTGAGAGTGCAACATCGCCGTTCCATGTTCCACTGGAAATCTGCCAAATAAAATGTGATTGGTTCTCACATCATTGTCTGTTTGCTGAAAAAACTCAATAGCACGTGCCATTGAGAGCGAAAATTCCCCTTGATTTTAGTGTTATAAGCATATTTCCGACTAATTCTTTTCAACGGTGATCAATGAACAACTCAAAGACATCATTTCATTAAAATAACTGAAGGCAGCGGAACAGGAGTCCTTTAACTTTCTCTCACTAACCCTAGCATAGTCGGGTTTGATATAGTTCAGTATTTTGTCTCTTTCCACCAACCTTCACATCCATATACTTCAACCCTCATACAAATCGAGCCACTCCAAGTTTCAGGACGAAACCTCAAAAATCTTGCTGTCACGTGTTTGTACAGTGAAACTTCCTTTACTGTGTTTTGATCTGTATTACCGTTTAGGATCTGAAAAGAATGCAAATATAAATTATTAAGCGTGGATGAGCGTTTCCTACCAAGCTATGTGAGCTAATTTATGTAAATTGTACTTTAAAATTTAAGCTGCGAATTAAAAAGAACTATATAAGCAATAGCCTACGTTTGGCGCGAAATTATGCTCGGATATTTGTCTGCGGACATTGTGTGCCCCGAGAAGCGAACAGTTTTCCACTCAGAATTGATTGTAAATATTAGGCTGACTCTGCACTCTTCTGCACACATTGCATTCCTCAGTTCAAGAATCGACTGGTTTACATGTTACAGAGGTTTTAATTGAGTGTTGTAAAACCAAAACCAAAGTAATCACCCTAGCCACTAACAAAGGGCACAGACAATACAGTGAACCAATAAAAACTCGGAGCAAATATATGTTGTCGGCAAGCAGCGCGGGAAAACGTGTGCGAGCACGTGATAATAAAGTTTGGTTCCACTTCTGATTAGTCGAGAAAATGGCGCGAGATTCTTAAACCAATCGTAGTAATCGATATCAATTAATGGTCGCAGAGAACAATTTGTAAGTGCGTTAAATGGATCAGGAGACGCTATCCTACAAGGTATACATCTGATTGCTTAAAGTTGAAATGGGAGAAAACGTTATTCCGGAATCCAGTTTCTTGTGCACTTTGAGGTTTCTTTGACCAATCTTACAACTCCGGACACACGTGTACGCTTCCTTATGCGTCAGGGTTGTTAAGGATCAACAGGGTAACATAATCAAACATCCTAACCGTTGATTTGCTTTCGTCGAGAGCGTTCCTCCAAAATATTCCATCCACACTGTACTCCAATCCGTAACTTGTCACCCAGAATGCACTGCCAGGGTGACCCTGAGTAGCGACACGTGACACTGTCCGACTCCTCCCTAAGTCGACTTGAAGATATTGATTGTTGTTATTTTCTCCTGCACACCAGGCGGCCTGATCATTATTCAAGCGACTTTTCCAGGGAACTTTTTCTGGTCCTCCGTCACTTGAGGAGGTAAAATGCTTGTCCGGTAAATCACCATTTTCCACACCAAGTGCGTCCTGACAAACAGCTATACGTATATAGATATACAAGATTAGCGGGAATAGGACACAGGATAATGATATAGTCTAAACTACAGAATTTATACGAAGGCGCATACTAGAAAACCAAGAGCAACTGCTGCCCCGGGATAATTGAGAGCCGGATGGCTAAAAAAAAACAGAGGGGAGGAGAATTGGAAGAAAAAGAATCTTTTACGTGTAAGCAAGTTCTCTCTGAAAAGTAAGCCATACAACTACACGAAATCGCGTGGGATCATTCGGGACGGTGCCCAATGGAGCAATCTGATTGGTAGCCTATTTCATCCTATCCCAGACGCTCAAACTACTAATTGCAGCACGTGAAAGGTTGAGTTCTCATTGGCTATGACCTCTGTCATAGCAGTTTTTAAACAGTTATGTGAGATATACGTACCTTTCCCGCCATAAACCTCAACCCTCATGGTAGGATAAGTGAAATATGTCTCCGGAAAAAAACGAACAAGCAACGCTGTGACATTGTGACGGAGATAGTGTTTAACAACAGTGTTCTCATCGTTGTTGCCAGGAAACACCTTAAAGGAGAACGAAACTCAAACATAGGACAAGGCGTTATATTAACTGAATTACAAGAATTGTGTTTTTATGATATTTTCAGAATTTCAAAAGCTATTACCACTGGAAAGTACCGTGCGAGCACTTGGTTTCTTCTTCGCCGTTGGTTTCACTCTCGTTTGACGTGAGAAACCACCTGCTCCCAGGGTACTGGAAAGAAGATGTAGTAAAGACGCACGTTCTTGCTACTGCGATAAATCTAACCCTTTGACGTCAATTTTTCAAAACCAGTTATACATTTAACTCACCCTAACCTGACCATCTTCACTGTACTCCATCCACTCGTCTCCCCACTTACTGAAACTCAATTTGTACGTCAATACCCAAGCTATTTCATTACTTTTTCCAGACCCTTGTGTTGCTACAGCCGTAATGAGACTCAGCTGCCTTCCGATGGAAATCTGTAAGAATGATCCCAGTCGATCAAGGGCTCCCCAGGTCCCTCCGATGTTATTAAGTCGACCATTTCTCGCTTGGTGAGACAAGTGGTGGTGCGAAGCTGTTAAGTATTCATCTGGGATGATGCTGACATTTTCCACCCCTAATGGTCCTGAGAAAGCTGCGGAAATTTAATTCAGTAAAGACGAGTTACTCAATACAGAGTTCTCAGAACTCATTGACGTGATTTTCTGAATCCAACCAAGACTAAAATTTGCTGCCCGTACCATGCAGAGACTTACATCTCCTGATCAAGGTACAGCTGTACAGTGAACTTGAAATAAACTAGAGGGTTCAAGCCCTGCAAGTCTCCTCTTGTTGTGAACAAGATGCTTCAATCTCAAGAGGTGTGGCCCTAATCTTCGTGGCCCAAGGGGGGGGGGNGGGGTGCTCCGGTATATTAGCAACAGGAAGGTGCAAATGAAGGCCTTTCATTGTTTCGGGTTACCTCCTGAGCCACTAAACATGGTAACCTTAGCAAGATGCTGCACCATTCAGATGGAGCAAACCAGTCAATTGCATCAAAGATTACCAATTCTTCCAAAACTACCTTTCATTATCTCAGTGCTAAGCTGACATTCAACTATCATTTATCAACCGCAGACATGATAAGTCACCCAACATTGCAAACTCAGTAATGATAGTAAAAATATTGGTAAACAAGTGCTGACAACAATTTGCGCCTGACTGGGGGAGCAAATTATCCTTTGCGCAGAGAAATTTGCATGAGAGGGGAGAAGGAGGAGAAAGTAAGGTTTGCCAACCTCTGTTAACCTGGCTATATCAACCCATTTCAAAATTACTTAAGATGTCTCACACTAACTTCTTGGGTTCATACAAATATCCAAGCTCTGTGCTCCCACCTCCCTGTAATTATTTTTAATTGATTAAAAAAACGTCCTTGTAATTACTACAATGCGCATAGAGCAGTGCATCGCAATGTGTAAGCAGCATTTGTCAATATACTCACCATCGCATCCAAATGCTTCAACTCTCATACACATATCACCACTCCATGCAGTTGGGTGAAACCGCAAAGCCACAGCTGTGATGGGGGGCTCAATTTGGTGTTTCACCACTGTCTGCCGATCATTATTTGCATCGAAGACCTTTGATAAAGTGCAGAGACAAGCATATTCCACACACAAAAAGACTAATTATAATAATAATAATAATAATAATAATAATAATAATAATAATAATACTAATAAACAAGTAATTCACATGCCTTCCTAAGAGCAGTAAGAGAAGAGCCGTATGTTTGGGAACCCAAAGAATTAATGTTATATGTTAATTGTACTTGCTGATAATCAAGTATAGTATAGTTAATTTCCCTAGTACAAGTAACAGGCCTAGGGCTTTTGCAAGTTAAATTCAGTTTTGTTTCTTCGCATGACTAAAGAAAGTGTCTTTCGTGAAATTTAAGAAGAGTAAACGTACAGTATGATACGCATTGCATAAGAATGCAAAGAATTGTTCAACTTGGTAATGTTCCTTTGATAACTGAACTGATTCAAACCATTCTTCTTTCTTTTATCAGGCTTAAACTGTGGCCAAAGTATTACATGGAGTTTAATCAATGCAAATGTCTATAGATGCTATACATTAATTCTAACACTGATAAAATCCCACACAACATCAGACTACCTTTATTCTTTTGGACAGAGTACTAGTATTTGATGACCAGCATTCAATGCCCTGCAATCCCAGTCTACTCAAATTTCACCGGGGAATTCCAGGCAATACAGCTGCAGCTTTAGTATTTGGGTTCACTGTGAAGTTTTCAAACAAATATAGAGGTATTGTCTCACCTTAAGCTTATTGAATTCTACATAATAGGTCCACTCGCCACCATCCAAGCTGTATGAGAGCTTATACCCAGTCACCCACTCATCATAGTTATGACTTCCCTGGCTGGCAACTGTGGTTATTCGCCTCAGTTTGGGTCCTAAATCAACCTATGAACAAACAATCATAGCTAGACTATGCATTGCACTGGTCTCTACATTCTTGTGTTATAGATGTCATAGGTCAAAGGTAGAGATTTGTGGAGATTCAGGAGATTGCCAGTTTTACCTTTTTTGACCCTAAAAAAGTTGTTCAAAGTAGAGCTCGCGAATTAAACCGTAAAATTGCATCAAATATACAAAATTGTTTCCCCAAAATGCCAAAATCAAAAACAGCCAAAAGATGTCTGAAAAATGTATTTTATACACTTTCATTTGTAATGTCCGGGAGATTTGGTGACCGGTGTATGTAAGACCGGCAGATTTCGTCTGCATCCGGGAGACTTCCGGATAATCTGGGAGAGTTCTCCTAACATTGGCAACGTTGAAAGCTGTTTTGAGCTTGAGGCTGAATTCTCGCGGATTCACACTGATCAAACGAAATTTCAGTCCAAACAGAATTGCAATAGTATTTGACAAAAAGCAATATTATTATTAACCTGGATATACTGATTATCATCGGACACCGTTGAGCACCAGCTGCGTCGTGATTCATTGTTTAATCGGCCATACCATGGACCACTTCTGCCAGGTTGCCAGCTTGTAGCAAAAACCGAGTCATCTGAGATTTGATTAGTAGAAAGTCCTAAAGGATCTGAACAATCTGCAATATTTCCTGTTTTGGGAGGGAGATAAAAGTAATGTTTCAGTCAATTCGAAACTTCAACATGCCCCTGGGGATTGACATTCCCCATCTACCAACCAAATATTGCGCTCAAATGACTCACCTTAGGGTCATACTATAGGTAACAAATACCTCTACACCAGGGACAAACATGACGAAAATTAGTAATGGAAAGGAAATAAGATCTTTCTTGGTGTTTTCTAGCTTCTCGATGATTATGAGGCAACTTTTTCAAATCCCTCTCTACCTCTCCCATATGGAGTCAAATATCCCACCCCAGTCTCAACCACAGAAGTCAAATTTCCACCCCCAGTTACACATCAACTAGCCAAATAACTTCGGTTACACGCGGGGAGGAGGAGGATGCTGATGTTTCTATTCGATCAACAGATAAAAGCAAATATATCAGCATATTGTCACTTCAATTTATACGCTATGAAGACTCCAAAAACAAACTTAGTATCCCACCTCTTGTGGCAATTATGATTTGCAATTGCGCCAAGAAAAAGGAAAACAAAAGAAATATAGCTAGAAATCTAGGAAATTTGATCCTAAGCGAGGGAGCCAGGTGAGCGCAAAATCTATTCTGCCTAAAATAGAAACATGTATTTAAAAACTACATGACGAATTAGCAAGGCGACTGCTGGCTTAAGAAACACATCGCGCAAAAAATTTAAATGATTTCATCAATTATGTGTATATTTTGTGGAATGCAATGCGGGGAGCACCGAAAACTGAAAACATAAGATTAAACTTGACGGTTATAAACAGTCATTGCTGGCAAGCTGAATTTGAAGGGAATCAATTATATGTCAATAAATCTGATAGGCTTTCTTAGGTCTACTAACGGTAACCGTCATTGCAGCGCCATCCGAACAGTGATGTGCATTTGTTGTATTTGACAAAACAACCAAAGAATCATTCAATAAACATTTTTATCCAGCAATTCTACGAGCTTCGACGGGAACTTTTGAGAAGTTTTGTTTGATGAAAATCTTGGGACCGTTTGACCAGGCGCCAAAAATCTGTCCTATAATCGACACCAAATTTTCGCGACCTTACTCTTACATGCAAAGGCCATTGAAATCTCGTGTTGGGGTCTAAAAGAGATAAAAAGTTTAACTTACCCTGAGCGAGCATGGGAATCGTACTGGTCTAAAGCAAGGGAAGCAACAATAACAATGGCTCAGTAAATAATAATCGACAGATTTATAAAGAATCGTAACTGCTGTGGATTTTTGATAAGTAAGAGAGCCTTGCGGACGGTAAATTGCAATAAAAAGATAACGATACTGTAGATAAACTGGGCAACTAATTTCTGACGCACAATGTTTCTCTATAATGTATGATGCAGGAGTAATGAGTAACTAAAATTACTTACTGCTGGCGTCTTGAAACAACGAAAGCTACGATAGTTAAACATAATGTGGGAAAATAAGCCGGGGACAAGAGATAATGCCAGGTAAGAGAGTTAATACCCCATATAGGTCTTTATTACCAAGGTAATACCTCTCAGGTTATTTTTAGATTATGTCGTGTTTTGGAAATCCTAGGACGGGCATAAAATGGCCAATCCTCTGAGGGGGATTTTGCTGACGCAGACAGCCCTGTCTTTACACTGCGTTTACGTCATCCCCGGCTGAAAACATCCACGCCGCACGTAGTAACATCCGCGGGGAAACTAAGTCCATTTCTAAAAATAACTAAATAGGGATTACCTTGGGTATAAACACTATATGAGAGATTAACTGTCTCACCCTTCATCCTCTCGTGCGAGGGTTCATGGAACGGTTCTCGACCCATAGCTGATCTTCTATTCATTGTGTGAATGGAATTCTGTAAGGACCGTCATGCAGCTTTGAAATCCACTGATTGCAATAACTTTTTAAGCTAACTTCATTGTGGTTTGGCTATGATCAAGAGCGCTGTTCAATTATTAAACAGATTTTAAAATTGAAATGCTTCCTGGTGTTAGATTTAAGTCACAATGGTAAGATGACGGTGGATATCAAAAGCGTAAAACCCTTCTTTCGTCTTCTTTGGCAGTGAGAATAAAAAAAAAACAATTTGTGAAATACGGTAAATATCGTTTGCATTTCTCTAATAAGAGTTCACTTTAATTCATATGCTCTCTTTTCCTTCAAACTATGTTCTCTTTTCGTTTAGTAGAGAACGGTCTAATTGAAAATAACAAGAGTTCTTATATCCTAAACTCGTATTGGTGTGACGTTGTGTAAAAACAGTTTGCAAACTTAAAAAAATGTCTACGAAGAAGAGTACTGACAACTCTTAAAGAGACAAAGTACAATGATTACTTCCTCAAGATAATATTCTAGCGTGTAAGATCAGATTATCTATTTTTTCCCCCTTGATTTTTAACATAAACGGCCAAGAGCTAATTTTATTTAATTACTTACCCAGAATATAAGAAATGGATACAGGACATTCAGCATTTCCATTTCTCGCTACCTATAATCGACAGAATGAAGTGATGTTAAGACTCGACTCCAGTTCGGTCGACATGTCTGATGCGACCGTCAAGTGTTCTAAGTAAAACAGCAGGAATTGTTTGACTCCTATTGATTATTCCATTGCAAGTTTAATTTAATTTTTTTTTTTTGAGTAGGGATAAAAAATAAAGGCATAACAAACATAATTACGAAAAGACTGTTGAAATTCCCTGTTTAAGGATCGCAGCTTGAGCTAAAACTGCCAAGCACATAACGCTGCTTCTAAAAAATTGCAAGTTGTCCTGATACGTACAAGCACCAAGAGAAAATAACGGTCTAGGTATTTTACTTGTGACGAAGCAAATAGACAAAAAAGTTGTTAAAAAAAATGCGGATACATATAATGGCTATTTTTCCTTTAAATGATTGAGGCTTCATTTTAAAAGTTAGAAAAAACTTCAAGCTGTGCGTATATCAATAATGCACAAGTATATGAGTGAAAAGCTAGATTATTTATTAAGTCACTGATGTCACAGATAACCAAAGTTTGGATAGGGAAGGGACAACCTCGTTCCCAGCGTCTCTCGTCTTAGCACCGCCTGGAGCGAGCGAGGAGAGACCCTGGTTGGGTCTGGTCACGTGGCACTTTGACAATTGAGAACACTAGGGAGGGGTCCTATGTAATCAGCAATTTGTCGCGTTGAGCTTTGTCGAATGCAAAGTATTGCGCTGCGACTGCCATTACCTGCGATGTTTATCAATACTTAGTTTTCAGGCTGAAATTTCGAATGATATCTATTCCAACGTTTACCTAAAGGTTAAGCAAG